TACATATTATTAAACCATATGTTATAAAAAGGATTTGAAACATCAATACGAGAGATTATAAAGATGCCAAAATAATGATGTGAGTGAATAAATTGCTATGCCGTGTACACTAACAACTATGCTTAAATATATAGTATAAGTTTACCTACCCATCAAATGAGTCGGTTGTATTATTAGCTTGGAAGGGTTGCATTTTAATTTATTATAGACACCAAATGACCAAAATTATATCTAACTAAAAAAAATATAGTCCAATGTACGAGACTCCTAGGTAATAAAATCTGAGAATTAGTTGTATATATGTAACATTATCCTTACAAGTGAAAAGGTTATTTATGGGATTTGAACTTATGAGCTTCAGATTACAATGGACAAACATCATCGTTATGCGCAACTATTATTATTATTTGAAATCTTGGTCTTGCATAGACATCACCTTTTATATACTTAAAAAGGTACCATGAAAGCCAATGTCTCATATTATTACATGCTATGTCCTTTATAAACAGCTCATCAAAAGCTAAAAAGTGAAGCAATGTTGATTCTGCTTGCATGTGAAGGTTTCTATAAGTCGTTCCATGAGACTGGCACGCATGCTGGAATTTGAAGACCCTCAATCTTGTCCACCTATACATTTGTTGAGTCTATGCAAAGTTGTCTCCTTCTCATAAATACAAATCATGACAAACTCAAAGGCTTGTTATTCAAAGTCAATCTTATGAAATCTGAGCCAGGACATTAAACCGGAACATATTTTATATTAGGTTTAACCAGTTTAAATATAATTAATAATTTTTATCTACAAATATATAATTATATATACATGTGAAATTTTATATAATTAATAATTATGTATAATTATACTGAAGTAACATATCTCCATCTTTTTTTAGACCGAAATAAAATAAAACATTAGAATAATGTTCCATCTTTTTTAAATTTTAAGTGAACCATCCGGTTCATTTCCCGGGTTATTCCGGTTTAACCGGGTTTAGCATGGCCGAATCGGATTTTCCCGGTTAAAAAAAGTCCAACCATTCATTCAATTAAGATTACAAACTAGAGTCGTTTTCAAGTTCGGTCAACAATCGAACCGCCCAATCCGGTTCTCAAACACTGGTTTAGAGCATTCTTTGCAATTTAGGTGTTATTTATTTAAATTTTAACCTACTTAATATATTCTTATATATATCATTTGATGTTATTGTATTGTTTTTTTTAACAAATTTGTCCAATTCAACCAAATACATTGACCTAATGTCTTATGTTTGAGTGAAGACATCATATCAAGTCCAATTACATGATTTTTAACATAACTCATTTGATAAAATCTCGCATTCCTATTGGAATCTCTCTTACTAACACAATATAATTTTTGACTTCGCTTTAATATATAAACTTTTAGACACTATAAAAAAATATTATTTAATTTATAGTAATGGCAATATAAACTCAAGTTTAGAATGAACTCTATATGTCGAAGTATGACCATCGTCGTAATATATGATCATCTTTCTTTAATTTTTATATGAAGATCTTTTGTATGCTAATTTTCAACACCTTCATTGTCAACTAGTAAGAGTTAAATTTAGTTGTGGGAAGTTCTCTATGGTAAACAATTATGATGTCTTTTAGTTTTGTAGTCAAAGTTATTGTTCTTTATTATATATTTTTTTGTTGTAAAAGTTAAATCTAATTCAAAACACAATTAAGAAAGAAAAAGTGAAATCTATATGGTTTAATGTTTCTTATCATTTGATTTGATAATCATTTTGTTAGTGTGTTTTAAATGACATTTTACAAAATTGGACAAATATTCTAATGTTTAAAAATTGTTGTAGATATTACTTGTTCCAAGTTCATAACATCAATATTTATTATCTATTTTTATAATAAGTTCATAGTACCAATATGTTGTAAAATAATTTCACTTAAGGCTTATTACCAAGTCAAATGTTTCAAATAGCTTGGACTGTTCGGGTAAGCTCGACCAGAAACAACTCGGCCGGTACGGGCTAAAAATCACAGATTAAATAAAAAAAATTCTTAATATGATACACAAGTATGAGTGACAAATGAATGAATTTGGATTTTGATCCTAATTGATGGATGGAAAATCATTCATCGATCTATATAAATTCATTTGAACCATATTTTATGTTATTCAATTCATTCATATCACAACTTAATGGATAGATTACAATCCATTCATGACTAATTTTTCATAGATTTTGATAGATGAATATCTAATCCAATTGATTTTTTATTGAAACTAAAAACATCATTAACGAAAATCATTCTTTTAAAAACTATTATATCAATAAAGCATTTTTTAAAATCACTTTTTTAAGAAAATCGCATTTAGAAGTAGTTTTAAAAAACAGTTTAATTTTTTTTAAAGTGTTTTTTTATTAAATATTTTTTTGAACTTACAAAAAATTATCTTTTTTGTAACATTCTACAAGTATATGGCGTTTAAGGTTCTACGTATAAAACTTTTACAAATATTTATATATGTTATGTACTTAAGAACAAAATTGTAATACTAACTACATTTACATATCAAAAAAGTTCATAGTGAGAAATAAACAAATTTAAAGTGAGAGTGAGAAACACTTCAAAAAAGTGAGAGTTGAGATGGTTAATGAAATTGAAAAACACAAAAGACAATTTTTGAATGCTTGTTTTTTGGATGGATTGAATATAATTGATGGATTCAAATTCATCCATTCCTAAAGTTATAATGAATGAATTTTATTTTATTTTATTTTGATGAATTGTGGATTGATAATAATTTTACCACCTCTCTACACAAGCCTTATAAATTTTGAAGACTTGGCCGGCCGATTTGACGTGTCTACAAATGACTACATATGTTTCTCGGTTCGAAGAAAAAATAAGATATGATTTATTAATTAAAACATTAATTTACTTTTGCTAAAGAATGTATTTTAATTAAAAGATAATTAATAGCATATGGGATTATATTGATTGTGGATTGATTTCCCTACTTCGAGAGATAACATAAATATTACTAATGACCATAATTGTTTCTCAAACTGAGGAGAAAAGATTACATTAGTCTTGAACCGACTTACCACTTCGAGAGATAGAAAGACCATTCTAATGATCGTAATTGTTTATCAACTCATATCAGAAAATAAGACACGAAATGAGCACTAACTTCATTTAATTTTTAGTTTCCAAAAATAATTATAATTTATTTATGAATTTATTTGATGATTAAAAATAGTTTCCCAAATTAGCCATTCAAGACAACAATGGTGAATTGAAATATGATAAAAAAATTATTGAGCATTTTAAAACCTACTTAGAGAATCAAAACTAAGAAAGTAGTTTGATGAGTTATCAATAATGGAAGGGCTTGTCCTCAGAACCATGCAACTAAGCTTGATACAAGAATTCACAAAAAGATGATGTAGTGAAAATCATGTTTTCTATGTAAAATTTTAGAAAAATTAGAAATAGTAAATCTTCACAATTATTATTATTTTTATTTCATTATTATTGATGCGGAACAACATATGAATACGAGATCTTCCTTTTCTATGAGATGAGACAAGGCTATAGGGCCAAATGGCTACAGCAGCGACTATTACAAAATAGGTTGACCGATCATAGGGAATGGAGTTTCAGAAGCTATACTGGATTTCTTCAACAAAGCTACCTTCTAAAAGATAAATGCTACCCTAATTGCACTCATCCCAAAGTTAAATAAGCATAATCTCTTAGGTGATACTTTAGACCCATGACATGTTGCTCTTCTAAAATGCTATGCAATAGATTAGCACTAATAATACCTAAAATTATAGACATTAATCTATATCTATTTGAATACTTAAGTTATGAAGTTTTCTCATCTAATAGACTGGTCTTTTTTTGTTAGGCTTTCCTCACGTGCTAAGTCTTACCAATTAGTGTTTTCATTGAGAGTTGTGTTGTAGAAAAAGGTTACTCATAAGTTGGATTAAAGTATATTGTTGAATACTAATAGGTGAATAGAACTACCAAAAGATAAATGACTATCATCGGGTTAATATTGAAAGAATAAAAGTCATTATGGACATTGTAATGAATACTGAAACATATGTTTTACAGTTTAGAGTTATATTGCAATGATATTATAACTTTTTACCCTTACCCACCACATTCTCCTTTAATTTGCTCTTTAACTTAAATGAGAGTGAATCCTATAAATAAACTATTTCATTATTCCCCGTGATAATGCACGATGTGCTCGTGTGTGAATTGAATAAATTTATGAAACAAATAGGTTAAGATAAGTTTTTTATGTGTGATCGACGGATCCTGGTTATGGACTATTTGTTGCATGATTTGAAGCACAGATACGTGAAACTCCTTCACGCATTGGTGTCGGACACTTATCTGACACCGATACATTCTCAAAAAAATATCCATAGAGTATCCAAAAATAATTAAAAATTAAAAATATTAGGATACGTATCTGAAACGTTTTTAACAAAAAAAAACTAGAATAAATATGATACATTTTAATCAAAGTATCTCAATAATCAAGGAAAATACCAACTTATTTAAAGGCAAACACTAATGGAGGACAATGATTTCTAATTTCCATTATATTTTTTATTTTGTATATTTTGATTTACACTTATAATGTTATCATATTTTATATATTTTTACTATTTTATACATGTATCACTGAACGTATTATATCCTATATTTTAGAAAAAATATGTATCAGATACATATTGTATCCAACATACGTATCTGGATTAATGTTCAAAGTAAGAGAGAATTTCAACAACTAGTGGAAGATGACAAATTGCTAAAACCAAGTTGATAAAATCAATGCAAGAATCAAATGTTTATGCCTCTAGACATGCTGGAAGATGCCAAATGATTAATTCAATTTTACTAACTATGCACTGTTATCTTTCTAATCCCACAAACCATAATCAAGCAAGTTGAAAAATTATTCAGAGACTTCCAATAGGGTAAATATGAAAATGGCAATCATGTTCCATTAGTAGCCTGCAATGAGCTACATCATAGGAAAACTGTATGAGGGTTAAACATCAGAAATTGTGAAAACTTATTCTTTCAGTGTAGTTGGAGAAATGAACATCTTAGATTGCTAATTAACTTAGGGATGATAATGAAAACCGATCCCATGGATACCCGCCGAAACTCAACCTGGATTCAACGGTGAAAGCCCAATGTGATTGGGTTTATGTTCGGATTTTATACGGGTTTAATTTTTGGATTCGAATTTGGTAGAGCTAAGACCTTACCCCAAACTTACCCCGAAGTAATGTAATTCAATTTGCAATTACAAATTCAATCATATTTCAATTTTCTTAATATCTAATTTAACTTTAGGTACTAAAGGCTCTTCAAACATAAAAGAAATGAAATAAAACAATAGAAAATATAAATATAGAGAAAAATGAAATAATACCATAACTCTACTTCAGGAGATTCATTATTTTCGGGTTTTCTATTGGGTTCGAGTTACCTGAAAAACCGGGTTTGAGGATAGTACATTTATTTTCAATCCCATTGAGTTCGGGTTCGGATTTGGATATGTACAAATCCGACTCTGATTCGCTTTGTTGTCATTCCTAAATGAACCGAATAGAATGTGAACATTTCAGTATCAATAGATGATTCTCAAATGCAATTCACAAATATAAGCATAATGTAGTGAAAAGATATGTGTTGTTTTCACTCTATTTATAGTGAGAGAAACATACTCCAACAAACATTAAAAGTATTCGGATTCAAGCATAATATAAAAATAACTAAAATTAAATCAATAATTGGATAAATTCTGATCAAATTTTTAATTAAATCCAACCACTATTGCAAAACACCCGAGAAAAATTATCAGACGTAACACCACAGTCCTGGTATGTGTTGAGCATATCCAACTCTTGCAGTATTTTATTCCCTACAAAGGGAACCTCCCGCGACTCGAACTCGTGACCTCAAGGCGGGAAGGCTCCCTTTATGGATAACAAGCTCACTATATTCATAGGCCGGGAGAGGGTGGAGTCGCATGTAAGGACTGGAGTGTTTACATAAGAAAAAACATAATTGTTATGGAACATGAACAAAAAAAAAGGATGAACTCGAATAATAAAAGATAATGGAGCCTCAGATTAGCATATAGGCACATTCTTCATAGCAACAACAACCCATGTCATAACACGTTGCGCAGAACATTGTTGTAGCTCATGCTTCTATTACTTTCATCATCAGCTCCTAAATAATATAGTAAAATGCACATACAAAAGGATTAGTTGAAATATTGTTTCCAATTTCATAACCAAATTCAATCAAATTCTGAAATTTTCATCGGAAACACATATATAAAAGCATTAAATTTGGATTAAAAAAATGAATCTGGTAAGTGAATTGAAAGTGGGAAATAGTGGAAAACCTGATTTAGGGTTTCTTGAAGGAGATGAACAATTTTAAATAGGCGAGAGGATACGTTTAATACGACGTCGTATTACCTGTTATTTGGGCTTTTTTACTTTTATGGCCCACATAAATGTAAACTGAATGCGCTTATACAGGCCCAGTGGTCTTTGAATTAAGAAAACAAATGCACATTATATGATTGTAAGAATGGTTTTGTTAAAAGAAAACAAATGTATGATGAAATAGATGATTGGGTAATGAGATAATTCAAGTACTTCAAAAATCAAATGGTAATGCAATTTTCAATGATATATATATATATATATCTTTGATTACAATGAAATTACACTTTTTGTTATTAAAAACAAAGGAAAAAGATGAATTTATCTTTCTATTAATGGAGAGGATCTCAGTTTATTGTTCTGACATTAATCAAAAGAAAATGTGTGGTACTAGACAAATATTAAAAGTTTGATTTTTATGAGCAATATTTGTTAAAAAAATAGTCATTAAGTCTAAACGAATTAGCTTCTTATACACAAAGTGAGAGTATACATTTAGTTATACCAAAAAATATTATAAAATAAATTATTTTTTATAATAACTTATTTCTGTAAGTATTTCTTTTTAACCCAAGTGTTATATAATAATCATAATATAAAAGTGATATACAATTATTCACCCATTTCATTAACAACTTACATTTTTGGTATTTATAGTAACCCTAACCAAATGATATGTATGGTCGGTATATATTAATTTCTTTCTTAGTTGTATGATTGTTAATCCCAACAAGTGTTGCTTATATGAATTGAACCTTTAACTTTTTGGTCATTTTTAGGATCTAACGGAGTCTTACACCTCTAAACTAACGCATTGCTGAACTTGTAGAGAATGCAGGTGATATTATTAGGATTTAGATATATTCTATTAAGAAACTTCATATTTATTAATTAAATTTGTATGCCATGAGTTTATCTAATGGATTTACCCGCTAATATAGTTTATATAGGATCATGAATAATCCCCCTTGGATATAATTATATTTGAGCATGATATATGTTAATATAATCACCATAGTCTCGCGACTATAAATAATCTTGTAGATATGATAATCAATTATAAGACAAATAAAGATTTATCCTATATATAAAGAACCCACCATGATCTTATACAATGCTACAACCTTAATATGCTTCAGCCTTCATTATGATCTTCGGATCTAAAGTGACTATGGAATGAGTCTGAATCCTACCCAAAATCGAAATTAGGCCCACAACAAAATGTATAATGTAAAATTACTTTAGTCGTAGGTTACTTCTTTAATTCTATGAACCATGATTGGCACCCAACCTCTTTCACTAACATTCCTCACTACTTTGAACCATGTTCCCTTTTCAGAATGAGAACACATCATAAGGTAAGCGGAGAGTTTAAGGAACATAGTGATAGTGATAAAGAGGTTGAGACTTCAAACATTTCATAATGAAAAATAATAACATATTAATATTTGCCTATAAAAAATAATGATACCACATGAAAAAGTTTTTGACTACTGAGACATGCATTTCGTTCTCGCCCCATGGCTAGAGAAAAAAGGACACAAGAAAATGTAGGATTAGGATCATCTCCATTACCGGAAAGTGAAATACATGAAAAAATGAAATCTTAACATTTTTACTTCTAGATATAATATGATGATACTTTTATCCTTAAATATAAAGGCACAGTCTCTAGTCTCTGTAGTAAATGTGAGATAAAGAAAATGATGCACAAGAGACGAATAAAATATATAAATGCTCATTAAATGTTCAAACACCAAGTAGTGTCCCACTCAATTACAAACAATCCAAGTAGGGATTATAAAAATACATGAACACGTGGGTACCCGTAAAAATACATGCAATGAGTACTCGTAAAAATAGCCTATGAGTGGGAACGGGTATCATGATACCCGCCTCGCGGGTACCCGCGCGTATATTTTAATTAAATATTTTATATTTAATTAATATTAATTTAACATTATATTTTTTATTTTATTATTACATCATAATAAAATTTAGTGATGAGACTATAATCATAAAATTATCATATACATGTCATATTATTTAAGTAAAAATTATTTTTATAGATTAATTATTGTAAATTATATACAAATATAATTAGAATTGGAAACTCGCGGGTATCCACAAATAGTGCGGGTACGGGTATGCACTACCCGTGCTCGTTGCCATCCCTAAACCGAAGAGAGTTGAAAATTAGATAGTGAAGATTCTTGACGTGCCAAATTAAACATATCCATCCCACGTTACCAAAGATTTATGTCTAGTTGTCTTCACATCTTGTTTCCCATTTAATAAGACGTAGTTGAACTTGGACCTTAAAAACTATAGGAAATAAACCAGTTCGGAATTGAAGTTCAATTAACAAAACACATGGGTTCATATTAAAATCCCAAATCTTATTTTGGTTCTTCTCTTCAATGCATGCTAATTAAGAAACAAAATCTTTGGCGGACACGAGCACCGTTGCTTCAAGCTCTTAAAGCACATGAGCTAGCAATCAATAAAAAACCTATTTCCTTAATGTGAGCAAGATTCCAACTAATGTTGTGAAACCCGAGTCGGATATCAAGTCGGAAGAACTTCCGTATTAGGTATAACTGGTTTAAACAGTTAAGTTGTCTGGTCGGACCGGATGATTTTAAATATAATTAATAATTTTTATCTATAAATATATAATTATATATAAATATAAAATTTTATATAATTAATAATTTAATATAACTATATTGAAGTAATATCTCTCTATCTTTTTTGGACTGAAATAAAACAAAACATTAGAGTAATGTTCCATTTTTTTAAATTTTAAATGAACCATTTGGTTCACTTCTCGGGTTATTCTGGTTTAACCGAGTTTAGCACGGTGGACCGGAATTTCTCTGGTTCAAAGCGGTCCAACTACTCACTGTTAAGACTACAAACTGGAGTCGCTTTCAAGTCCGTTCAGCGATCGAACCGTCCGGTTATCACAACACTGGTTCGGACACTAGTATGGTGCGAACACGAGTAGTGATAATTAATAAAAAAATCATTTTATTAAATCGAGTTATGGTGCGGACACGAGTAGTGCTATCACACTTTCTTAAAATAAGATAGATGAAAATAATCATCAATCAACCTAAAAAACTTTAAAATTAGAATTACATGGTCTTAATTCCCTTACATATATAGATACATAGGAATTAGTTAGGGTATTGTTTTATAACGGACAGACAGATGCTAATTCATTCATCGATTCGTAATCGACTCTCGAACTCAACACTCTTATATAAAAGACAATTTTATCCAAATTGGGCTAAATTGAGTTTTCCACATTTTAACCACAAAATTGTGGTGACAACTTTGAAAGAGGTCACGTAGCCGAAAATCGGGGCACGACAATAGTCTATGTTAACAAATTTGAGAGTTATTAAGTTATTGAATTAGTTCTATGTCTAGCAACAAATACATTAACATATATGAAGTGACAAATTGATACAAATTTATGTATGGCAATTATACAAGGTTGTTGAGTTACATAAAATCAGAATTTACAACAAGGATTTCTCCAATATTTTTGTTCATAGTTCATACAATAAGATGATCAAACTCAAAGTAAGCATTAAGCACATACACAACTCAAAAGAATCAAAAGATAATAAATTATCATAAAATTGAATCAATGTGCATACATCAAGCTCATATTACATTCAATCCCAACAACAAGGAAACTAGCTACTCATGGTAACTAAATAAAAGCAAGAGTAAGAGAAAATACAACTCATGCATGATGAATTATCACTTCAATGAGCATGGACCACCTCCTCTGGTGCTCACACCTTATTTTCAGACCTCTAACGGAGCTAAACTCGCCTATGACCTAAGAATATTATGTATTACAATTATATTTCACAATGTGTGTCTTACAAACTCAAGCTAAACCCTTTAAGTAGAGTCTGAAATTTGGCTTTCGCAATCAACGCATTGCCTTGCGTTGAGCGCATTACTTTGCCTAGTCAGGCTCGATCTTTCAGTGCACCACCTTACATTGGGCGCACGTATTAGCATTAAGTGCACATCGCTCTTCTGCGTGGCGCAAGAGGTTCGCTTGGCGTAACAAAGACAATAGCTATTAGTTGAATTTCGTAATTAAATCTTCCCAACCCAAGATGGCGTTGGACACAAGTTCTCTTTTTAGTTCAGTGTGATGTTGGTGCCAAGCGTAGTTTCAGACAATGTCTAATCCGGTGAGCTTGGCTCCTGAGCTGAGACTGAGTGATATTTGCCTAGAAACTTAGCTTTATCGGTCATTCCTTCGGTTTTAGCCTACACTTCTTGAAGTAAGTAAATTTCACTTATATAATTGGAGTTGTTTATGACGCTAAGCTCAATGCTCCACCCCTGCGTGGAGTTTGGACTATTCTTAGTCCAAGCAATATATTATCAATCAACCGAGTTCCAATCTACACAATAACAAATATCAAAGTACGAAATAGTATTTAAGGTAAGTTTATAACATTTAAGGCTACACATAATTTAAGGATTGATTAAATGTTGTAAAAGTTTAATATAATTTGATTAAAATAATATTATTTATTGCACATTAGAAATTAAAAGGAAAAGAAAAGTTAATGAGTGAAAAAGGAATAATAAATAAGAGGATAATAAAAAATTAAAATATAGATGTTTATTAGGTTTATAACAATAATGAAAAAATATTAAAATATCTAAACAAATTGAACTATTGCAGTATCTATTATTTCCTTACAATAATTAGAGGAAGTACAACTATTATGATAAATACATGGGATGAAATAACAAAGGTACAATTACACACTTCAAAAAGTATTAATTCCTTATTAGTAGGATGATAGAATATATTTGACAGTACAAAAAAATGAGAAACTTACATGGAAGACTTATATTTTACTATGATATTAAAAGATATTGTTTCGTATATTCTAACATCAAAGGGC